CTGATAACAACCCGCTCATTCTCGCACTTTATACACGAGGCCAATAGTGTGTGTGTGTGTGTGTGTGTGTGTGTGTGTGTGTGTGTGTGTGTGTGTGTGTGTGTGTGTGTGTGTGTGGTTAGGGTGAAGTATGTTTCACAGTCAGAATCAAATAGTTTTTGACACCTTTAACCTCCTCTTTGATGTATCTATGTAATATGAACATGCAGACCAGAGTTACAAATATATAACATGAACAAATCTCATTTTATATTTTTATTACACGTTTTCATATTAAAAAAGTACTTTGAACTAATTCTTTTAGATTTTTTAACTTCACACAACATGACGGTAGGGTTAATTAATGATACAAGTTATTTATTTTTCCTCAGATAAGCTGTGTGTTTAATGAACATTATTCCTGTTAATATGTTTGAAACTTTATATCATATGTATATTTTTGTCCCTAGGGACAGCTTCACACAGTATATGGGCAATAATGTGTGTAATTACATCCTAACAAAAACTAAAGCAGAAAGCTAAGTTCTCCCTGTACAGCATCAGTTAAAGAAACTTTAGTAAGATCACTGTCAATGACGCCATGCATTTAAGAAAAATAATGTAATCATTTGAACATATTGTATTCTATTGCCAGTTATAGCTCATGGTCAATGTGTGTCTTTTGAGTAAGCTTAAAGTTAGGATAACTGTGGAAACATCAATATACAAATGTTTAGATGACACCAACCGCTGCAAGTAGAAATCATGTTTATGTCCACAGAATTTTTATTTGCTTACCTGAGCAGATAAGTTCTCTGAATAGGCCTTTTTGTGAAAATGTGATGACAGAGAAACTCAAACACTCTCTCAAAGGAGATCCAGCTTGAGCACAATCACGTTTTATTTCCCACTTGTGTGAGACTAGCCCGGAACGGGACATGGCCATTCCCACAGCAAAGCCACAGTCAAGACGTTCACAGAGAGCAGTGACTTCCTCCAGGTTGTGTGCAGTATTAATCACATTTCTCCACATTCCCAGTTGTTTCACCTGCACTTCACCTGCACAGCGACTGGCTCCTCCCACCAGTCTGACATCATCAGGCTCTGAACAGAAAGTAGAGAGTCATCAGTAAAAGAATAAAGCGAGTTTGACCACATCAGAACTGCAGCTCCTCTTCTACCTGAGCAGGTGAGTCCAACAGCTTTGCCAGCTGAGCAGCTGTTTCTAGGTGAGCCTGAGCTTCTACAGTCCAGGAGAGCAGACTCATGGCCTCCACACTGCAACTCTTTGCTCCACACTGGAGCCTCCACTTCTCCATACAGCGCCCCCTGGAGGACCGAAGGAGGCCCACAGCCGAGCTCCCTACAGACCACCTCTGCATCCTGCTGGTCAAAGTCAGCTTCACACACTGAGGACCAGCTCTGGTTAGACTTCACCTCCAGTCTGCCTGAACACAGACTGGAACCATTCAGCAGCCTGACAGAGTCTGGAGACATCAGAGAAGATCAAACAGAGAGATCAGAGACAGCAGACACACAAGAAAAAGATGGCAGCAAACAACTATTCACTGAGTCAACCTCAGCACAACTGTAACATGACTTCATCATTAACAACAGAACACATCTTTCTAACAGGAGACATGTTAGTATCACATTTACATTTTATACAGTGGACAGGCTCTCACTGATTTCTGATGTTTTACAAATGATGGCAAAACAGCTGCAGTTCTTTGTTGTGCTCTTCTGATACTCAACAATTATTGCTCTACACATACAACCTATATAAAAATCTTCTATTTAAAAAATGTTCTAATGATTTTAGAGAGACAGGATGGAAAAGTAGGCCAATTCAGGAACTGGAACCATTCAGCAGCCTGACAGAGTCTGGAGAAAGAAAAAAATGCTGCTGCTGAAAACCATCATCTAAGAAAACTGTTGAATTAATGTCAAACACAATGACATAGATTATGTCACTAATAAGCTCACCCAAACAGGTGAGAATCAGTGCTGTATAAGAATTATCTGGTGTTGCACACTCCCTCAGAGTAGATCCTGACCAAACACAGTCAAGTTTGATCTTCCACAAAGGTGCAGGCATCTGCGGTTTCCATCCGAACGCAACAGCAGAGCCACAGTCCAGATGTTCACAGACCACAGCTGCTTCCTTCAGGGTCCAGTCAATGACATTCACTGGTCTCCACTCTCCCAGATGTTTCACCTCCAATGTACCAGCACACAAACTGGGTCCTTCCACCAATCTGACATCATCAGACTCTGAACAGAAAGCAGAGAGCCATCAATAAAGAAATTTACTCCTGAAAATGTTAAAGTCTACCTTTCCTGCTGATTCTGAGTCAGTATTTTATTTTTTTGTTTTTTGTTCACCTGTTGAGTTGTGTTTCCCTTCAGCTTGGACTCCTGAAGAGAAAACCAAAGAAAACCATCCGTTTGAAGCCAAATGTGCCAGATCAATAAGTGCAAGCTACATGTGTGGAATGAATAGTGCATTTTAATGATCATGAGTGGAGGCAATAATGGGTAAAAGCAGCAGGAGTAATGGAGGTAGACGGCAGGTGAATTCATGAATGCATGAATCCATTACATTACCCAGCACATCGGACTAAAAGCGTTGCACAATAAACTACTTTTCTAAACATACGCTTTGAAACATTCACATCCATCCAGGGGTAGAATGTGAAGCACTGGACAAGCTGTCCTCGTTCTTTGGGCCAAAAGCTGAGCTCTCAGTGGCTGTGGCTCAGGTGGTAGAGCAGATCAGCTACTGATTGGAAGGTTGGTGGTTCGATCCTTGGCTTCCCCAGTCTGCATGCCAAATATCCTTGGGCAAGATTGTAACCCCATGTTGCCCTCCGATGCGTTCATCGGAGTATCAATGTGTATGAATGTACTTTAGTTTGCACTTGTGTTTAGAAGTGCTTGTATGAGTGGGTGAATGAGGCATGTTGTATACAGCGCTTTGAGTACTCCAGGAGAGCTAAGAATCAGTCCATTTACCATTCAGAGCTGTGCTGCTTGATTTCCCTGTAACTGAATTTTCTGCAGTGAATCTGTGAGAGAAGAGACTCTGTCTACCCTGCGTTCTATGGCTCATCACATTCATCCCCCTGACAGTGAGAGGAGCAGCACAGTTTGATGTTAAGTTCAAATTGACTGATTTTGCAGAGTTTCTTCTGTTATTTTCCTTTGATCGTCAGATATGAGTGTATGGGTGCTTGTATGTGTGTGAGTCTGTTCAAAGTGCTTTAAAGCCAAAATCTACGAGAGAAAGATGCAAATAATGAAAAATGAACAAAAGTACCCATTCAAATCTGAATTTATAATTCGTTTTTTATCATGTAATAGAGACTTGGAAACCAAAGAAGTCTTGAGTCTAGTTAATTTCATAACCTGAGCACTAAAACTTCAATTAACGTGCTTATCTGAAATTGTTACTGATCGTGTTTTTACCAACTGTCTTTTTAAACTGTGATAGACGGATTTCTTTCATCTTTATTAAGTTTAAACTGTTCCCATGAGTTCTGAGCAGTCTGAGGAGCTGAGCCAGTGACAGTGACAAGAAGAGTATGTGGAAAATTAATCATCCATGTCAACTTTTATTTTGACAGCATCTAAAACAGTTGCTTCACACACACACAAAATGTATCTGGCGTCAAACAAACCTTAAAGAATCTTTAAGACAAATTAATCATGTAAAAAAAGTTAGAAAAACGTTTTTAAAATAAAGACATAAAAAGGCAATATTAATCCGCTCCGTACGCCATACTTACAATGATGCTGAAATATTGTCTTCGCACAAAATTACCATGAAATTATGCTGCAGTTAAAATTAGTTACAGTATGATTTATCATTTCCTGTAAAATATATGGTGTTATGCTAAAAATTACCATGTGTTGTGTAAGATTACTTACACATTAATAAAGACTAATGCAATAATTCATTATTCATACAGTACATTTTATGTTTTTAATCTGACTTACCCCCTTATTTTAGTGTCCCTACCTTTAAATAATACAATTTATGTGAACATAATTACTTTGTAACTTCTAAGAAAATACATGAAAATTCCTTTTAATTACAGGGCAATTATGTCCTTAGTGACAAGCTGTATTATGAAGTGTTGATTTTTTAAACTTAGTTCTTCACCAAATTTTACACTGAGATTTCTGATGTTTATGTTACAGTTATTTTTAATAAACTATTTGGTTAAAGAAATGTTTAAATGTACCAGCAAACCTCTGTGCTATGCATGGTGTTTGCTTTGGGGTTAGGTAAATAAAGAATGATGCATTTTTCTTTACTGGGATTAAATAAAATGTTTCATGGGTTTTCATGTTAGTAAGTATATGTTTAAATGTTCTCTGTGTTTCATTCATGTGGGTTTTGTTTGTTTAAACACTAAACATGTTAGAAATATTGAAGTTTAATAATTTTATTTCTACATGTAATTTGGGGTTTATTAAGTCCACAAAGCATTACAGTCACTATCAGATGAGCTTATGACAGAAGATTTACAGTATATACTGGTAAATGTAACAGAACAATTCTAAATCATAATGTCACCATTTGACCTGTCAGATGTACAAATACATACAATTGCATGAAAAATATTTGTGTACATCATAATGTTGGCACTCACAGTGGCCTCAGCAATGTTTATAAGTTTCATCATGATTGGTCCACTTGTCTAGGATGAGATAAGGGACTTACAAACACACATACAGCAAAATCATAATGTATATAATTTTCTCACTGCCATTTGGTGAAATCCTCCAGTCAGATCAGTGAAAGCTTACAGATGATGTTTAAACCAGTCCTACCTGAGCTCCACAACAGCAGCAGCAGCAGCAGGTGATCCATGTCCAGGTAGATGTGTCTCTGCCTGTTCGCTGCTCTGATCATCAAACCTGCTGTCCTCAGTAAGTATCTGCCTGCAGGAAGAGACCAATCACATTTACTTTTTTATCATGAATAGGAAGTGGCCTTACCTCACTGACACATGTTCAGTATTTCCTGGGTGTTTGTTTTTGTCTGCAATGTTGGAAACTATCACATAACCCATAAAACAGAAATTATTTTTACAAAGAATAAACTGTTCATTTACCTGTGGGTATAAACACCTGTGGTCATTTCAAATGGTAGGGGGAAAAAGCTCACGCTTTTATAACGCTTTCCTACTCTGCTGGAGCACCCAAAGCACTTTATACAACATGACTCTTTCATACCAGCACTTCCTACTATCTAATATTCAAACTCTGATTCATGCATCAGAGAGCAATTCGGGATTAGTATGTTGCCCAAGGATATTTGGCATGCAGACAGAGCAGCCGGGAATCAAACCGCCAAGATTAAGATAAATAGATCACCTGCTCTATCGCCTAAGCTACAAGCACTTTATAACTGTTTAACCCTACTGATGGTATTGTTTTAGTGGTATATGCATGCTAGGTAAAAGTTCACAAATACACAAGTGTGCACTGTAATGCAGGTCTTGAAACTGTGTGCTAACAACTAGATGAAATCTTCCTTCTTCCTCTGTAACTGCGGAGTGAACACAGTTTCTGGATCTGATTATTTGTTTTTAATGTAGCACTTCTTTTATTTAAACAGTGTGTGTGTGTGTGTGTGTGTGTGTGTGTGTGT